CCCTTTGATCAAAGCAATGTGCATGAGTGTGTTATAAAGAGTGTGTGTATGTGCGCGTGTGTGTGTGTGTGAGAGAGACCGAAGCTCAGATGCACTATTTAATTTATATGAAAATATTGAGACAATCAGTCGGAGCGTGGACTTAAATGTCTTTTATGTGTTTTYAAAGTTTTATTCCTGCTGTAACCTTGCTGTGATTCTTACGCAATTTTGCAGAAGGCCCAACAAGCAGGCTGTGAATTTGATCTCTACAGTGTTAAAGGATGAAATATTAGTTTTGAATAAAAAACAATGTTGGACAGAGCAGAAGGGTCGGTGAAAGCAGCAGGTTTGAAATGTAAACAAACGATAATAATAAAAAAATACAGTTTAACCTGTGTTCACCTAATGGTTTCATCATTTCAATGCTGCTGATATTTATTTACATTTGACGCAAATTATCTACTAGAGAAAGTTCAGTCTTTAGGGTCAAATTTATAGAAAAATATGTGTTTGATAAGGAAAATGATCAAAATAGACATATAATAAACACACAATAAACAAGAAAACCCAACATTTTTGTTGAAATTTGTTTCAGAAAAAAAGGAGAAATTAATTATTTGGCAGAAGATTTCAGGCATTCAAAATTCAGCACAAACTGACAAATAAAAGGATTTTTTTTCTCTTATTTGTGAAACAAGCTTATTTCTCTTTTTTTTCTTTTACAAGCATCTTTCTGCTATTTAAAATGGCATGCAAGTAAAACTGCATTAGTTTTTTTGGTCAACGGTGAATAATTCTCTCTGAAATGTTTCAATTAGTGGCATTTCTGCACTCGCTTTTGTGAATGAGTTAAAACATCTCTGTGACATCTTGCTGCAATTAAATAGCTTTAAATTGTCTGTTAGACCCCTAATTATMAGCTGTGATTGATCAAATTACCCAATTGGTTCAACATGCTTATTATTGTCATGGTTTGCATAAGTATTGATTTAGTGCTCAATTTAATCAGTTTAATAAATCTTCAACAATTTGACTCATACGTGTAAAAATATACAAACAAGGGATTCATTTGAAAAAGACTAAAAAATAATCATTATTGCATTAAATGAGAAATTAAGGCAATCAATAATTTCCATTTTTATTCACGAGAGATGCTAAATAACAAGTTACTATGTTACTAAAGTTGGTGTCTCCCTGCAGCTCAGGGGCCCCAAAGTGTTCATTAGATTTTAATTAACACAACAAGAGACATATGGGGCTGAATATTTGTCAACTGCTGCCCTGAGGCCAAGCTTTGACTCCACTTCAKCTAATAGACTGAAGCTGCACTCATCCATCTGCCTATCAGAAAAAAAAATAGTAGTAGTAGTTAAGTAATAAAGCAAAATAACAGCCAATCGAATCAGTCTTTTTAAAAAAATTTATATTTGCTCTAAATTGAAGCTTTTAGAGGAAACACAACAATTAACTATAATCTATAGTGGCTTTATTCTGTCAGCTACTTCATTTTTATTTTCCAAAATACAAATAAGCTACGTTGAAGTTCACAGCCTAGCTTGTTTAGGCCATGACATAGAATGGAGACTGAACACAAAACATGTACAACAGGTTGCCTTCAGGCCCAGGCCTCCCTTGAAAAAGAGATCTGAGATCTCTGAGATATCAATGGGACTTGCCTGGTTAAATAATGGTGATTAACACACTGGTTGAAGTTTCAGGGTTTTCTCAACAACCAGGATCCACAGGTGCTGTCAGTCAACAAGCTGAGCAGGACAGAACCAATAGAAACAGAGAAACAGGAACAAACATACCATAATACCACTAACTGTTTTCCTGGCAAAATGTTAATCTAATAAAACAATATTTTGTTTCTCAATAACATTAAAGACTCAAAGACTTTTGTGTTCTGATTTTCTGTACATGTGAGAAAGGCAGCATTGTTTTAAATCCACTGACAGTTGCTACAGTGTAAAACATTTTGTTTATAATAAAATGGACAAAAAGAGAGAAGTGAATGAAAACAGTAGAGCCACAGTTTGCCCACCATGGTTTGAAGTTACAGATCTGAAACACAAATTGTCCAAATAACTGAGTTCACCTATGAAAATATATTTTTCTGAAAACAATCTGGTTGAATTCAAACTGTTCAAACTTATTACAGTAACACAAGGTAGAAAGTAGTAATACAGTAAATTCTACAGATCAAATTTCAGTCTAATACCTGCAAAACTGATCCATTTGTGTAAGTGACCATCTTGAACTGGATTGAATCCAGAAGTCATTCAGTTGTAGACATGCAGTACATGAGAGCTTCATTAGTTAATTCAATGGTCCGTCTGTCCATCCATCCGTTTTCTTCCTCTTATCCAGGTTTGGGTCGCGGGGGCAGCAGTCTGAGCAGAGAGACCCAGACTTCCCTCTCCCCTGCCTCTTGGGCCAGCTCATCCAGGGGAATCCCAAGGCATTCCCGGGCCAGCCAAGAAACATAGTCCCTCCAGCGTATCCTGGGTCTTCCTCTGGGTCTCCTCCCAGTGGGACGTGCCCGGAACACCTCACCAGGGAGGCGTCCAGGAAGCATCCTAACCAGATGCCTGAGTCACCTCAACTGGCTCCTCTCGACGTGGAGGAGCAGCTGCTCTAAGTCCTTCCAGGATGACTGAGCTTCTCACCCTCTAAGGGAGAGCCCAAACACCCTGCAAAGGAAACTCATTTCGGCCGCTTGTATCCGCAATCTTGTTCTTTTGGTCACTACCCAAAGCTCGTGACCATAGACGAGATGAGGGTAGGAACGTAGTTCAACTGGTAAACTAAGAGCTTTGCCTCCTGGCTCAGCTCCYGCTTAATCACGACAGACAGGTACAGCACCTGCATAACTGCAGACAGCACCAATCTGCCTGTCGAGGTCCCGCTCCTTTCTTCCCTCATTCGTAAACAAGACCCCGAGATAAACTCCTCCACTTGGGGCAGGACCTCCTCCTCGACCCGGGGATTGGCACGCTACCGGTTTCTGGCTCGAGATCATGGTCTCGGATTTGGAGGCACTGATCCTCATCCCCACCGCTTCGCACTCGGCTGTAAACAGCTGGAGATCACGATCTGTTGAAGCCAATAGGACCCCATTATCCGCAAAAAGCAGAGATGTAATCCTAAAGTCACCAAAAAGGATCCYCTCAACACCTTGGCTGCGCCTAGAAACTCTGTCCATAAAAGTTATGAACAGAATCGGTGACAAAGGGCACCCTTGGCGTAGTCCAACTCTCACTGGAAATGAGTCTGACTTACTACCGGCAATGCGGA